AATAACCCACAGCTTGGCGTATGGTTTAATATGGTTGACACACACGTTGCTTTAAATGTCAGCACTGGCTGGACCTGGGGACTTGGCAGGCTCCCTGGGCGAGATGGCAGCAGAGTGGCGTCATCTGCTCCGTGTCTGGGCTGCTGGTATGTTGGCTGAAGTTTCTTTTGGCTTGGAGACCCAAGCCACTGCCCAGGCTGAGCCACTGGCTGGGACATGCCATCTCCTGCCTGGATCATGGACTGCACAGCCAGGATCCACTCTTTTCTTCCTGCCTCCCAACCAGCACCCATGGGGAAGGGATGCCCACAAGGGGACCCCTAGCTTCTCTAGGAAGCATGTTGAGTCCAGGCCTCACCATGGGCCGGAAGCTCCAGGACTTGTTGTAAGCTGGTCCTCAGTGTGTGTTTGTGACCAAAACCCTAGGGGTAGCAGTGGGTAAATGTCACACTCTGGTTGAGGGACTGTGGCAACAGTCATAACGACAGCTGTGCCACAGTGGTTTGCCCGCCTCCTCCTATGGTCCACTCAGCCGGAAAGTAACACGCTTTCTGACCGTCCACTAATTTTCCTCACCTGCTTCGGAGGGACCGAATGGTCTGAGCGAGTGACTAAGTGGTCTCGGCTCCTTGGGGCTTTCTGCAGGAACTGCATTCTCATGCATAGGACAAAGGTCCCCAGAAGGGCTATTGACCATGGATGTCCCTGGCATCCTGGTAGGTAGAGACCTTGATTCAAACTGGACTGGGACTTGTGTGTCCTGCAGAATAGGAATTTGAGACGAAGCAGACATGGAGGAGTCTGTGGGTGCCCCAGTTGGAGCAGCCGTTTGCCCCATAGTCATGATGGCGGGATGGCGGTTGATGCCAGTTTGCAGAGTGGGGATCAGTGGGAAATGGACAGAGACCCCCCCCCCCCCAGGAAGGAGGGACAGAGGGCTACTCCACCCTAGATATCTTTCTGGTTTCTTTTCAGGCCATCCATAAGAAAGAATATTTTCCTGCCTTAGGCTTCTCTGAGGCAATGAGGCCTTGAGGCTCATCCCTCCTTTTCATTGAAACGGTTTGGATTGGCTGTGCCCCTTTCATCTGGGAAAGATGCCCTGAGCAGTGACCAGTGATGACATGCTTGGGTCAGAGCTGGCGGGGCTGACAGTGACCCACTTTATGCTGTGTTGATCATTTCTGGATGTCTTAGTTTCTTTTCCTGTTGCTGGGACGATTTAAAAAAATCTGTAATAAAAGCAGCTTAATGAAGAAAGGGTTTATTTCAGCCCACAGATCAAGGTTGAGTCTATCATGGTGGGGAGAACAAGGCCATGAGCTTGACGCAGGAAGCTAGACGACATCCATGGTAAGAAGCGAATAGACACATTGCATGGTGGTGCCCATCTCACTTCCTCCTTTTTACAAATTTCTGTATGTATTTATTCTTACAATTACTTATTTAGTGTGTGTGTGCATGTGTGTGTGTGAAAGCACACATTTTGAACACTAAAGGGGTGGCCATGGTGTCTGTGCAGGTCAAAGGACATCTTGCAAGAGTCTGTTCTCTACTTCCCACCATGAGGGCTCCGGGATTAGGATTGAACTCAGGCTGTAAGGCATGGCAGCAAGTGCCTTTACCCACCAAGTCAACTCACCTGCCTGCCTTTCTCTCCTCTTCTACAGATCTGGATCCCCGGTCTAAGGAATGCTGTCACCCACAGTGGGCAGGTCTTCCCACATCAGTTAACAGGGACAAATAAACTTCTCACTTATGCACTCACAGGCTAGCCCAATCCAGACAGTCCCCAGCACAGAAAATGCAAAACCTGTGAACGAAGCTTACGGCTGTGAGAGAGTGTGGATCTGAGGCTCTTGGGCTTGGCGTGAACTGAGCATGAATGTGACTTTCTGTTCTCAGACCTAGTTTCCTTTTCCATAGATGAGAATTCTGTAGGATTCAAGGTTCATAACCTCAGTGTGTGGCTTGGTCAGACTGTAGGCAGAGGTGGGGCATGCTGGGACGATCCAAGGCGCATATGTATGTGTGTCTTGCTAGGAGTTGCTGGGAAAGGAGGGGAAGACATTTTTGGGTGGGAGGCACTAGGGAGAGCTTGGACCTGGAACTGGGAGTTCTCGGTGCTTAATTCCTCTGGGAACCTACCCAGATGTCTGGGCCTCCCAAGTAATGAGATACAAATCCATTTAATTGAACATGGTTCTTAATTGCCAGAATTACCTGTAACATTAGCTTCTTTCACAGCTGTGCCCTCTCTTGGGGCTGGTGCCAGTTCTCTGAGGTGCACTGGGTCCGGGGAGCCCAGCCCTGATGAGTTGGGCCGTCAGCCTAAGAGCTCATTCTCTAATGAGATTCTGTAACCAGAAAGAGGTGGCCAGGGCCAAGAGGGGAGCCCACACTGTGGTGTCAATGGCCTCTCAACTTGAATGCCCTCTCTTACCAGGAGCGTCCTACCCGTTCCTACCAGTCAGTCTAGTCTCTTCCTCAGGAAGTCTGCCCTGATTGAAATGCTGGAGAAAACTAGGATTTTGTTGGAACCAGAAGACAAGAAGCCAGGACCACCGCCAGTGTTCCTATTAGAATTCTACCACAGTGCATCAAAATACAACCAAGAAGATCACAATATCACCAAGGTTTGTAGTGACCGGAAGGGGCAGGACATGATCCAAATCCAAAGGAAGCTGAAGAAGTGTCGGGCCTATACCTGGGCCTCAGATGTCCTGGCCTCAGTGACTAGCACAAAACAATAAAAACACTCACGGAGGGAATAGAATTCAGTGGGAACATGATTCTCTGGCATGGGGGACAGGTTCAGCCTCAAGCAACACACACACACACACACACACACACACACACACACACACGCACTATCAAAAGAAAGACAATAATAACTCAGATTCATTAACTACCAAGGAAATGCAAATGCAACAAAACAAAGTGTTTACCCCCCAGCATGCAACTGGTTTTGATGTTTAATGGCTTAACATTGCATACTGTAGGGAGCATCTTTCTATTTATCTTTTCGTTGGTGTGAAGGATTGAAATGGGCCTTAGACATATCAGGCGATTCCTCCACTGCTGAGCTTTGTCCCTCATCCCAGGCATGCTCCTCCTCCTTTCTTGTTCCGGGGAAGAGAAATTAGATTGAGAAAACCTGGCAAGAACTCTAAAATTAAAAGTGAAATTGGTCAAGTGATTCTACCTCTAGCCATCTTGGACATGAACCCAGGCTAGTCCACAAAGATGCTCTGACAGCAGTCTCTATTAGGCAGTGAGAATAGCCTAGTGAGAAAGAATTAAGCAGCATACAGTGTCGGGACAGCCGTCGTCTGTTGGGGTAGCTATCACCTGTAGGATTCAATTTAGGTTCCTGGTCCCCTCATCTTGGCATGGACTCTCAGTTATGATTAAGGGTTATACAATGACTATTGCCAGTTCCAACAGACCTGGTGTCAACTATCAGACACACTTCTAGGTGTTTTTGAGGGGATTTATAGAGAGGTTTGACCAAAAAGAGGGGACCTACCATGAATGTGGATGGCACCATCCTTGTGCCTGGGATTCTGGACCGAATAACGAGAAAAGGAGCGAGTATCAGTATTCAGGCTGGAAGTTACACCCCCCGTATCTTCCTTCATGTCTCTCTTGGGCTCTGGCAGCTAGGTGGTTCACAGTTGTGGGTCTGTTCCATGGGGGGCATTCCTTGGTCTCGGACTCTTGTTTCCTGTGTTATGTCTCTTGATAAGACTTAGTGTAACGATAAGAATATAGTCACTGTGGCTGTTAGCAATGGGAACCCTCATTTCATCCTCAAGGTTTGAAACAGAAATGGGAAAAGGGGAAGAGAGTGTGCTGACATTTGGGTCACGGAGTCAGGGAGGGAAGAAGACGGGAGCAGAGACAAAAGCAGAGAGGGGAAGGCAGAACGCTGCAGGCTCCCTTCAGGCACACACCAAAATAACAATGTCCATTTACGGTGCTGCTGGTGGGCAGAGCTGTGAGAGGCAGGGATTCCCGTCATCTGTTCTCTGCACGTGGTACCCAGAGTCCAGCTCTCCATAGATCTTTATCTTCAGCTTGTTGGACATCACGTGTAAACATCTTACGACCCAGAAACAGAGCTCAAGTCAGTTGTAAGTGGAAATCACTGGTTCTGTGGAAATGCGGGGCTCTAGGACGCCGGCGCAGGTGAAGCTGAGCCTCTTGGAATGGTCCTTAAAGCTGGGTTCAAAGCACCACCGGGCCAAGGTGGAGTGGCTGGCAAACAAAGACGCCGAAAATTGGCACTGGGCACCGACAATGGCCACCAAGGCACCGAGAGCCTCTCAAGGAAAAACTCAGTCCGTTGGAGTGTCTCTCATCAGCCTGCTGTTCACCGGAGCATGTCGGGAATGCTCTCGTGATCTCACAGGGTTATCAGCCAGGAGCATATTGTTCTTTTCCAGCACCCGAGCAAGTACACACTTGACAGCCGAGATGACGTAAATATCAGACACATGGGTTCTGGGACAATTTTACTTCAATTTTTCAAAATAAAGATATAAATTAAGCTCTTCTGACTTATTAGCATGAGTTTCTGTTAATTAATTAAGGGAGGAAACCCCAGACTTTATTAAGTGTTTTAACTTTTTAAAATGTTTCCGTGGAAACCTTTTGGTGAGGTCCCGCTGTTTCTGAAGCCTCATCCTGGCCATGCCCAAGCACTACAGATGTTTTTATGAGGAACTGACTAGTATTGAGACAGTCTTGGTACACAGTCCTGGCTGGCTTTGAACTCCAGATCTTTCTCTTTCAGTCCGCAGAATGGCCGAATTACAGACATGTGTGGTAGCACCTACCAAGGGACTGATGTTCAGACAAACCTGTAAACATCAGGATTTCCCAATGGATTAGAGATAAAGGAAGAAGTTGGCAGAGGGCACAGCATAAGCAAAAGCATCGAGACCTGGACCGGGGAGGTGACTTGGGGCACAGGTCAGCTAGTTCAGCCTGGGAGCCTCGGTGAGAGGTTCGTGCTTCACCCAGAGGCAGAAGGCAAGTTCTCAGCAGGGAAACAAGATGTGATCCAGCTGTTGGAACTATTGTTCCTGAAGGTATGGTCATCACAGCGGTCTGTGTGTGACACCAGCCCTGTGCAGAGGAGTCGAAGCTACACCGTCCCAGCTGATAACAGCTAAAGCTGGGATTTGGGCTCAGGGTTATGTTCTCAAGCAGCGCACCGTTGGTCTCCTTTGCCTGCCTCACGGTGTTGGAGGATTTTAGTTGCCTTCTAACAGAGGGAAGTCGCTTTAATGTTTGCATTGAAATACACTCATTTGAAAGATAGCTTCATGCCATTATTGCCATTTACAAATCTTATTGTTTTCTATCACCCCTTCCAAATACAGACATCTAAGGTGGAGGAGGCTTCAGAGAAAGGATCTAGTTATGTAGCCCAAGTAGGTTTTGAACTCACTATACAGCCAGGGTGAGCCTAATTTGCTTTCCAAATAGTTAAATCCTAGTCGTACACTGCCATCTTGGCAAAAGTTTAACTGTAAATACATTTGTCCATGAGAGACTTGAGATTGTGAACTAGGGTCAGATGAGGAGTGGGGGGTCACACTGGAGGGTGGTCACGCCCTTGAGAGTTTGGGTCACAGTGTGGTATAGTGGCAGGTTTCATGAAAAGAAGCCTTTGGGACACGCCTGAGGTCTGTGAGGTCACATACCGGGGACAGTCTCCCGTATGCATGGAGTTAAACTCCTAAGTGCTTTGTGGGGTGGGTGCCAACTGAGAGGGTGCTGGCATGGGTCCAAGGACTTGCTGGCTGGCTTTGGGAAGATAGTAACAAGACTGGTGGCTTAGGAGCCTGGCGCTAGACTAGGAACTTGTGTTCAGCGCTGGGGAATGGAAATCCACCGCTGAACACAAAGGCCTAAGAGATGGCTATTCCGGGCTTCGTGCAGGGCCCCAATACAGCCTGTAACTCAAACCCTGGAAGCACATTCGGAATGAACGTGACATCAGGATGCTTCACAGCTGTGCCAACAGGTGGATCAGAGACTTGAGTAGGTTTGGGTGTGGTGTGAGGGGTGAGTCAGGGTAGCCGAAGATGGTGGTCTGAGCTCTCTGGCTCCTGCCCCAGACCTTGGCTCCCTGGGCCCTGGTTCTCCATGCCCATCATCCCAGCTCCAAGTCAAGAGTCCTTCACTGGCTATTTTTGTTCCATGTGAGAAAGCTTCAAATCACGGTGGTTTATTGCTCTATCTATCTATCTATCTATCTATCTATCTATCTATCCATCCATCTATCTACCCATGACATAAAGGGGATATCTAGAGCTAGAAATGAAATGTATAAAAAGTGGGGTCAGCCATGGACGCACATTTGTAACTTTGAAAAACACTCCGTCTTTTGACTAGGCACCTCTTTTGTTAAAATGAAACTTTCAGGTTGAGATGTGAACACGAATGTGGAGGAGTCAGGGGGTTTACACTTAAGAGGAGGCCCGCAGGATAAAACTGGAAATCCCTCAAACTCAGGCTTTTAGAACAAAGCTTGGTCACGTTCGTTTCAGCCCACCCTCCTCTCCTCCACCACCTGTTATACGGGGCCCAGATTTACCATCAGTTCCCAGGGACTGGCCCCCGTCCAGCAGCCTCCTGCCTGCCACCTTGCCATCAATCATGGCTGACAGCCGTCAGAGCACAGCCTGGCAGAAGTATCCAGCCCTCAAGGTGGCCAGCACTGAACCCTGAACCATTTGCCCTATAACATAATCCCAAGAGAGAGGGGTTGGGGATAGGACTTGGTGCTTTCTGGAATTGGAATGCAAGTGGGGGGCACTAGCCTATTGCAGAATCCTTCCTCCTGTCTCTAGATTTTGGGTGTGCTTCAAAAGATCTTAGAGTCCAAATGGGACCAGGTAATCACTGGGTCAGAGACTGCCAGCCTCAAGAGAAACATGGCCTGTTTTGAAATAGCCACAGCACACTCCCTGAGTGGCCACTAATGGTAGACTGTGTTAGGAGTTCCATCAAACCTCTGGGCATATTTATACAATTAGCACAGACAGCGAAAGAAAAACAGCGTGGTGGTGACACACCAGCCATGTGTGCGCGGATGAACTTGTTAAGATAAATAAATGGCGTAGGACGCCTGCACTGGTTGAATTGATACAATCGCTTCTTATCAAGATGGATGGATGCTGGGCTAGTGGAGGTCCAGCAGCTGCCGGAAGGGAGTCCAGAAAGAATAAAGATCATTATCTACTTTCAACCATGATGGCAAATTCCCTTTAGTGCCCATTCAGCCACAACCCGCAGCGTTGGCTTGCTTTGGGCAGGCCAACGGGGGTAAAGCAGGACCTGGGATGCAGGCTGCCTTCTTCCAGGCAAACTTTTTGTTTTTGTTTTGATTTGGTTTGTTTCTTTCATCAATACTCTTCACAAATGCTGGGCAAACACCTCCTCTGAGCTACAGCACCCACTGACACCTCTGCCCCCTTCCTTTTTAATTCAAATATTAATTCTTTCGATAATTTCATACATGAGTACTGTATTTACATCATTTCTACTTCTCCCTCTCCAAGCACCAACTTTTTCCATGTCCCACCTCTTCCTCCTCTAGTTCATGACCTTTTCTTTAATTACATATACACATAATAATTATGTATAAATATATGTCCCACTGAATCCATTTAGTGTTGTCATACTTACATCTGTTTAGGGCTGACAATTTGGGCTCGGATTATCATGGAACCGGTCCTTGGAGAAGATGGCTCCTCCCACTCTGTTCAGTCATTGGCTGCGTGTGGCTCTTCATTGGAAGTGGTTGCGAAATTTCCCCCATACAGTTTGACATATCAACTAACATAGTCATCACGCAAGTCTTGTCTAGGTAAGCATACTTTTGAGGTTTTACTGGTACAGCTTGCTTGTCATGTCTAGAAGACACTGTCTAAAATTCTGGTCCTCTGGCTTTTACAGTTTTTCCACCCCTCTTCCGCAGTGTTCCCTGAGCCAGGGGGTTGCACTGTAGGTGCGGCAAATGGAGCTGGGTACCCTACTGTAACTCTTGCCCTGCATTCCGGCCAGTTGGGGATCTCTATGATGGTCTCCACCTGCTGCACAGAGCAGCTTCACGGATGATGGGTGAGAGCTACAGTTTCCTGTAGGTGTAAGGACAAGCACTTAGAAAGCAGTTAGAAATTACATTGGTTTGGGAAGATAGCAAGTAGTGGCTTCTCTCTCGGGTCTGTGATTGCTCTCATCATGGTATTTGGCTAGGTTTACAGTACCATACATGGTCCCTTTCTATTGAGTGGACCTTAAGTCCAATTGGACAGCTATTGGTTAACCAGGGATAAAAGTGCCACTATTATACCTTTGGAGCTAGCTTTCCAGGCCGGGCATTGTGATTCACAGACTTATAGCTGGGTAGGTCTATTGATGGACTTTCTGGGTTGGCACCTGGGGGTATTATGAGAGCTCGTCCTCAGGGAGGAGTCTTCTATGTTAGTTCCAGTTTGATTCCTCCAAGGCTTGTGTCCAAAGTGTGTGGTGTCTACAGCAATAGGGTTTTACCTTCAAGACCTGGCAGGCAGCCAAGGGCAATGGAAGTAGCGTATACTGTTTGGGGAATTTCCCATGCAAAGCATCAGGGTTTTGTTCGATATTTTGTGGCTCTTGGGAGCACCGGGTAGCTCGACTCTGTGTGCCAGGGCCTGTCATCATGGTGGGGAAACATGTGGCAGAGGACGGCTCTTTCCTTCATGACCAAACAGGAAGCAGGTACCGAGGCAGGAAGCGACCACAGATGATGTACCCCCACACGCTGATTTCTTCCGACTCGGCCTCACCTCTTGAAGTTTTCACAGCCTCCAATGACAGTGCCAGAAGCTGGGGAGCAATCATTCAAAACATGGGCCTGCAGGGCTTCTGTTAATGTTCAGTCTGGGGTAGTTTGTCTTTGGATTCTGTCTGCCCTCCCCTTCTCTCCCACTGAAGAGGCGCTTTAGGTGACCAGAGGCTGCGGCTTCCCGCTCTGTACCACCTTCACACACTGGGGAGCCCAGAACCAACTGGATGTGCCGCATATGTTTGTTGGGTGAATGAATGACTTTCTACCAGTCCTGGAAGTCATCAGGCTGTGAACACACCAGGCAGTGTCAGCCTGAGTCAGCCGGCTCTGATGTCACTGTAAGCCGGCTCTGATGTCACTCAGCATTTTCGTCCAGATGTAATCATCTGCCTCGGTTCCTGGCGGCTGTTTAATATTCACTCACCCATAAGCTCGTTCAATAAATATTTATTTCTTCAGGGTTTCTTATGTGAGGCAGTTTGCTGGTGATTCCTAATCGGGCTATTTTTTTTTTCCTTTGTTGAATTTCAGCTGAGGAAGAACAAAGAAACGCCGGCACTTCTCAAGGCAGAACAAACCATCCAACAACCGCAGACCATGAACGGCAGAACTGGTTTTCTCGAGGCTAATTATCCTAGGTCTTTTAATAACTGCAGTCCTGGAGAGGCTTCTGAAGGCCTTTTGAATCAAGTAGCAATCCGGAAACTGTAGTCTTCACAGAGCAGCCTCTTCAGGCAGAACAAGGGCTCTGGACTCTGTGTTTTCGATGCTCTGATTTGGCTGAGTTTTCTTCTGATAAAAAAAAAAACAAAACTTTAAGGACATTGATGGACACAGGAAGTGTGTTTACCGCAAGCGTGATTCTTTAGACAGACTTGGTGACACACAAGAGGTGTCAGAATCAGAAGGCTTCTTTCTGCTCCAGACTCAGAAGGGGAGCTGACATCTTTTATCAAAAAGACAGACAATTCCAATCCCTTGACGATTCTAGATTATGGATCCCAGGAGGCTCGCCTTACACCGGCGTCTTATCACCGGAATCAGAGTGGCTGCTGTTTATTTTCCGAACCTCGGCATAGTTTTCAAGGTGTTGCCTGCCAGCGGGGCCTGGGCCGACAGTGACATGTGTTATTGTCACATCGCTAGATCTGAAAGAAAACGCGAGATAAATAAATATCAGTGTCTTCTTGGATCTCCTTTTGCTGTCGTGGGCACCAGAGGTGCAGGCATTTGTTAATTCTCTGATCGGCTGTTTCCTGGCCTGGTGCTCCTTTCACTTGACTGGGACAGAGGGAGGGGACAGAGGGACAGAGGTTGGGGAGTCTGGGCCCTAGGCTGAAGCTGGAGGGGTGAGACGTGGGGGGGGGGGCTTTGATAAAGCCCTCTCTGGGAGGTAGAGTGAGCCTGCAGGCCTATCTTACATTCTCCCCAGAAAACGGGTAGGTGACCTTCCAGTGAGGCAGAGCTAGCTCACTCACGGTGAGGCTGTGTAGCTAGTTTATGTCAACTTGACACAAAATAGAGTTATCTAAAGGAGGGAAACTCGCTATAGAAAATTCCTTCTTAGTATCCGGCTGTAAGGCGTTTTCTTAATTAAGTTGGGGGAGAAGGGCCCCGCCCATTGCAGGTGGTGCTATCCTTGGGCTGGTGGTCCTGGGTTCTATAAGAAAGCAGCCTGAGCAAGCCATGAGGAGCAAGTCCGTAAGCAGCACCCCTCCATGGCCTCTGCTTCAGTTCCTGCCTCCAGGTTCCTGGACTGTTTGAGTTCCTGCCCTGACTTCATCCTTTAATAAACAGGGATATGTGGACGTGTAAACCAAATAAACCCTGTCCACCCTAAGTTGCTTTGGTCATGATGTTTCATTACAGCCATAGTCACCTTCCCTAACACACAGGTAATGTGGGTTGAGGTCCCCCGGGGACTTGCTTGCCTGCAGGTCTTCGCATCCCCATTTGCAGAACAGGATTCTGAAGCTGCATCTGTCACGGCTCTCCTCATTCTGATCGCTGCGCCTGGCAGAGACAGCTGAAGGGAGGAAGGATTTGTTTGGTTCGTGGGTTCCGTCTGCAGTATTGTTGCTTTGCTCACACACTTGAGCAGAGAGCAGTGTGACAGGAGAAGCTGGAGGACCGAACACAACTGCTCACACTCTGGTGGAGCAGGAAGCAGAAACGGCTGTAACCTTCAAAGGCCCACCCCTTGTCTCTCATTTCCACCAGGTAGGCCTGGCCCCTTCCAGCTCCATCAGTTGGAAAGCAGGTATTCAAAGCAGCACCCTGTGGGGCCGTTCACAGAGAAGCCACAGCAGCAAGCTTCCCCATTCTCCTAGTCTACGGGCCAGTTTTTATGTCCACTTGGCACAGCCGAAGTCATCTGAAAGGGGAGAACCCCAGTTGAGAAGATGCCTCCCTAAGATCAGGCTGTAGGCAAGTCTACGAGGCATTTTCTTAATTAGTGGTTGATATGGGAAGGCCCAGCCCATTGTAGATGGAGCTATCCCTGGCCTGGTGGCCCTGGGGTCTATAAAAAAGCAGGCTGAGCAAGCCATGGAGAGCAAGCCAGCAAGCAACTCCCCTCCATGGCCTCTGCATCAGCTCCTGCCTCCAGATTCCTGTCCTGTTTGAGTTCCTGTCCTGACCTCCTTCAGTGATGAGCAGCTATATGGAAGTATGAGCCAAATAAGTCCTTTTCCTCCTCAAATTGATTTGGTCATAGTGTTGCATCACAACAGTTACCCTAACTAAGACACCTAGGGTGTTGAGGTGGCCCACGCTTTAAGGAGATTGCCTACCTCCTCTGTCTGGCTCCTGGCTCCCACCAGGTGCTGGGCACTCACCTCTCCCATGTTCTTGGTATCACTTCTCTTTCTGCCTTTGACTTCCTTTGGATCTTCTTATCTGGGTATCAGGAGGTGATATCAACACCTATGGACCATGGACCACATCTGGCCTGTAGTGCTACTTACTGGAACACAGCTGTGCCCAGGTGACGCACTGTCTGAGACTCTTGTGCTGCGGGGGCAGAGGTGAGACGTTGTGACACAAACCCTCCCTATGGCCACAAGTCTAGAAACACTCTCTCTGCCTGGAATGCTACTGCGGAAGCCGGCTGACTTCTGCTCCAGATGTTCTTCCGGGTCAATGGCACATGAATTCCGCTCATTCCTAAAGACCCCGCTTGACTTCTTGATCTGCTAGGCGCCTGGAATGTTAATCAATATCATATTGAAAAAAGATTTCCACGAGCAAATGTACAAGGGAGATCTTACGTGAAAGACGTGATGGACATATTTTTCTGGCTCCAGGACTCCTCAGAGACCTTTATTAAGGTGCATTCTGGGAATCTCCAACAGGGGAGTGGAGAGTGCGTACTCCTCAGCTGTCTTGCTGAGCATTGAAGACCTGGGGCCCTCGTTATCAGATTATTGTGTCCCTTTTGGTGGTGTTCTCAGCTACCACAGCTTAAGAATACTTGGCATTTTTATCTGCAACCAGAACTTCCGATCTAGAACTCTCCCTGGCCATCATGTACTGCTGTCCATTGCCTTCACGAATGTCTACTAGACATCTCCGCCCAACTGTTCTCCAGAGTCACCTGTTCTTCTCTACCCATCAAGTAGAGAGCTCATTCTGATTGGTCATTGCATCCTGCTCCTGACCAGTCACACTCTGTATCTACTATGTCAACATGTATGAAGCCGCTGTTCACCGTTGTGCCATGTCAGTCCAAGTCTGAACCACACTCCCCTCGCCTGGATTCCTCTGACAGCCTCCAGGGGTACTTCCTGCCCTTGCTCTCACCCCTGTGGCTTGCCTTCTGTGCACTGAGATTCCCCCTGAATTCCACCCAGCTATGTCCTTTCAGGAGAATAGTTGTTCTCCAGGGATGGAGCACTGACTTACCTAGAGTCTTCCAGGCTCTGTGTGATCAGGCCTCCACCCACCTCTCAGTTCCGGCTCAGCTACTTCAAATCCATGAGCTCAGGGCCTTTCATGTCATAAACCATCTTACAAGGCTCTCTGTCATCCCATAGTCTACTCTCTGGCAACTGCCTCATCTTTTCAAAGATTCTTTGATATCACTTAAGTCTAAACTTCCTGGGTCACCGGGAAGGCCTTTGCTGGACAGCATCACACTCCAGTTTCTCCACTTTTGCGTCTTCATAGCTCTTGCTGGAAGCTGACATTACCTTACTTCTCTTTTGCTTCCCTGGTTATTTTGTTTCCTGCCAAGTGAAAGCTTTGTGGAGAGTTAGGGCCAGGCTGGTCCTGTCATTTTATTTCCTACTACTGGGTACCCACATCTTTACAGCATGGTGTCTATTGGAAAATCACTACTTGCTGTTGGACTGACTAAGTCTTAAGTTTCCTTGCCGAAAGTGTTCTGTGTCCCAGTGTCTTACACTGTTGCTGTGGTAGCAACATGAACAATAGCATTTGACATCCACTGGGATGGCTTGTCAGGGCCTTGCTGCAGGCCTGGCCCTCGGCAACTTCCAGAGGATTCTTCCTGCCAACAGGAAGAGCTCTCAAGGAGGAACCACAGAAGCTCTACTTCCACAGGTGGGGAAACAATGTCACAGTGATTCAGCCTGATGACCAGGAGATGAAGCATCTCTCATAGTTCTGTCTCTGGGAAGGTCAGGGCCCAGGTGCTAGGAGACTCCTGTCTAGGAGTGTTGATGGCATCTTCTCTCTGGGGCATCGCACAATGAAGGGGGTGTAAGTGCTCACGGAGCCTTCTGGAAATACACTGGGGTCCTTAGTCTCACACGTGAGGCTTTGTTTTCATGTCTCAACCATTTGTTAGTGACATCACTAGGACCAGTGCGAGAGAAGGGATTGGGGGGTGGGGTGGCAAACATTCAGTCCAGAGCCTGAGTCTCGGTGAAGCCACGCTATTCGTCTAGGGCTGTCCTTCTCTTGCGTGGCAGGGCTGTAGGTTCTGAGTTTATGAGCAGGGACAACACCAGACTTTATCTGCTGTGGGTTGGAGGTTGGTATTTGGCTTCTGGGGGTGAACTTTCCGGGCCCAGCTTGAACACAACACTGACTGGCTTCCGCCTGGGGCCGGGGCTCCCTTCACTTCCATGAGCAAAACTTGGAACAACGCTCAGCTGGATCACAGACCGCATCTGCGTGGGGCACAACCAAGCATACTTGTGTAGCCCCCTTGCTTGCTCGTCAGCGGGTTCTACCTAGTGCTGATAAGTGAGTTGTTGTCTGCAAGGCGCTTACTTACGCAGCGCCTGGCCCACAGTGGGCACTGTGTTCTAACTTGTGCTGCAGGAGAAGTTTTAATTTCAAAATATAAAAAGTAAATATAAATAAAACAAAACAGAAAACACACACAAGAAAACAGACTGAGCAAATCATAAGCAGCGTTCTTCCTGGGTCTCTGCTTTGGTTCCTCCTTCCAGGTTCCTGCCGTGAGTTCCTGCTTTAACTTCCCTGCACAAAGGAGTATACGTTGTAAAGTGAAATAAGTCCTTTCCTTCTCTCCAAGTTGCTTTTCCTCATGGCATTTATCACGTCAGTAGAAAGCGACTAGGACATCGAGGCTAGCCTTGAACTTGCAGCCTTCTGCCTCAGCCTCCCAACTAGCTGGTGTTTTAAGCCCGTATCACAGAGCCAGTTATCATATGCCTTTTCTAAGGAGGTGGTTATAGAGAGAGTGTGTATTAGCATACACTCCCAGCTAATCACGGCTTTCTGATTTTTTCATGTTTACCCCCTTTTTTTGTAAATCACCCATGTTACCTGTGTACCTTCACATTCTTCTCATATTTATTCTTCCTAGATTTCTATTGTCTGGATGTGAAGGTTTTTGTCCCCTTGTTGATGGGCTTTCAAGTGCTTTAAGGCCACTGAGCATGTGTAAGAATATATGTGTGGATATCTGTTTTCACTGCTCTGAGATCCGACAGGTGCTATCAGCAGATCGCATGGTACGTGTACATTTCAAGTAATTTTTAATTGTAATTCACTTATTTTGAAAGAAAACTTGATGCCACTATTGTGATTGGAGGTAGAGATATACTTAAGTCAAAGCTTCGGGTAACGATACATGTATGAACATTGAGACGACATGACAGCTTTGTGTGTTGCATGTGAATGCTGTATGCATGAGATCTCAGACAAGGTGATGTTCTCATCGGAGAGATGCCACTACCCGC